AGGAAATTATTTGAAAATAACAAAATTTGACATAACTCCTGATTTAACAACATTGAAATAGTGTATCCTCACTGCAGAGAAGTATCAAAATTAGTGAGAATCATGTTGAAATAGTGTGTCCATACTGATAGGAGCCTGCCTCAGCCTTAGAGCCCCTAGAAGCATTCTGGGCACCAGGAGGGTGGAGTCATCCTGTGGTTGCTTGGTCAGGCAAGCTGCAACACATGCTTATAGGGGCTCCTCTATAAAGCAGCGCTCTCATGCCACTCCTCCACAGCTTTCCCCTCATGAATTGCCCTTGTGGATGCCACAGCACTCACAACATGGAGCCAGAGTTGCTGCAGAGCAGTGTCATGCTCACAGACCTTGTGCTGCGCCTCATGGCGAAGTTGGTCCAGACTTCCCGCATGCTGCTCCAGCAGGACAAGGACCAGCCTGGACCACAGGCCCTGCTCACCCAGGTTCTGGCACTCCTGCTGCTGCGCATGCCCTTCACTCCCCTGGACACTGTGTAACACCGCATCTGGTGGCGGGAGACTAGTTCGGGCAGGTGGGATCACATCGTCCTGCAGCTATGGAATGACCAGCAATGGCTCCAGAACTTCCACCTGTAGAAGGCCACCTTCCTCAAATCTGTATAATATATCCTTTCAAATAGAAAATATTAATAAAGGAGAGAGGCAAAACATATGGGCTGTGTCTAGACTGCATCCCTTTTCCGTAAAAGTGATGCAAATTAGACAATTGCAAATGAAGCGGGGATTTAATAAACATGGCTGCCGCTTTTTTCCAGCTCGGAGCTTTGCCGGAAAAAAGCGCCAGTCTAGACGCAGATCTTTTGGAAAATAACGCCTTTTCTGAAAGATCCCTTATTTCTCTTAAAATAAGGAATAAGGGATCTTTTGGAAAAGGCTTTATTTTCCGAAAGATCCGCGTCTAGACTGGCGCTTTTTTGCGGCAAAGCGCCGAGCCGGAAAAAAGCGGCAGACATTTTTATGCAAATGAAGCAGGGGGGATTTAAATCCCTGCTTCATTTGCAATTGCGATGTGTCTAATTTGCACCTCTTTTACGGAAAAGGGATGCAGTCTAGACACAGCCATGTTGTTTAAAGTACATATAGTTGTAGTTTCATACATGACCTTGAAACAAAGTTAGAGGTGATTAGTAAACCAAAGTGTACATATGTATGGCAATGCAAAAACTATTTGCATATATTTGAATTATGGAATTGCAAAGGGATAATGGCTTTTACGTAGATAAGAATAAATCAATAAAACCACTGACGACAACAACAATATAATTAATAATAATGCTCTGCACATTACAAAGAAGCACAATACTTAATGGACTAAAATATACACTCAAGGTTAATTGTAAATAACACATTTTAAATAAGAAACACAATGTTTGGCAGGAATAAAGAGGCAAGCAAGCTCTCAAAGATTGCATGTGTTATATGGAAATGTGCAATGCTGCTGGTATAATTATAAACTATACTTCCAGAGTTAAATTCTGCTTTCATTTACACCCATGCAGCTCCACTGAAATCCAGTATTCCATAGACTGCATTACTCTGTGTGTGTGTGTGTGTGTGTGTGTACACATTATCATAACTTAAAATAAGGTAAGGGTATGGTTGTGCCAGGAAAATGGGATGCTCCTGAAATGGGATTGCTTCTCATAAAACCGTACTGAAAAGAGACAGATTCACCAGCCAGGTAAAAGGGGCTGGCTGGGGCACTCCCACATTCAGGACTGCCCCAGTCCCAAGCCTCCCACCCTTGGGATGAAGAGGAGGTCTGAAAGTTCCTTCCCCCTTTCCGACTCCTTTTACAGGAACATTGCTGGCTGTTCCCCTTGGTCAGAGAGCAAGGGGAAAGTTCACAGTTTGCTGCATACCTTGCTCTAGCTGGGGGACACAGGAGACAGACAAACCTTGATCTGCTGCAGCCCGGGGACATGCACCCCTTCCATGGCTGTGTTCTCTGCAGTTGCAGCCGCCACGGAGAGGCACTTCTCACCTGACCCCAAGCTGCTGTCCTCTCTTCCTGGGGCAGCCTTCATACTGAACTCCTTATCCCCAGTCCCACCCCAGAGAAATGATTTAAATAAAGCATGTACATTTTCATTTTATTTAAAAAAATAATTGAGTTTAGTACCTGAGCAATGCCAAATAAATCTTCTAGTATTTAATAAAAGAAAATTTAGTTCATATAAAGTCTTAGAGCAACCACTATGGCAATTTTATTCATTTACTATCTTTACAATTCAGGAAAGACATTTGTATTAAAATTCTTGGTGCAACTAATTTAACATGGAGTTTAATATGCTTGTGAACAGGCACATCATATTAACTATATATGTAACAACAAGTATCATCATTTTCTGACTTTTGGGATTTAAACATTTTCATCTTTTGTTTTTCCCCTCTCAATGAATATTGGTGTAGAAATGCACCACGAGGAGTAACAGTAGTTTGAAATAGGAAGCCTAATCTGAGCTACCTAGTTCGTGCCGCGTGTAGTCGCGCGGCACGGAGTCCGCACTAGCGGACATTTAAAAATGGCGGCACCCGGCAATATGCAAATGAAGCCTGGGAAATTCAAATCCCAGGCTTCATTTGCAACTCCGGTTGCCTACATTACCACCCTAGTTCAAACTAGGGTGGTAGTGTAGACATACCCAATCTGCGTTATAGGGTAAAATCATGGCTCCATTTAAGGTAATGGGAGTTTTGCTGTTTACTTAAATGAAGCTAAGATTTCACTCCTAATATTCAGGTGGAGCTCCTCTGAAAATCATATTATATGTGTAACTAGTTAGAAATCTTACGAGTCAGTGTAGTTCAAATTTACTGAGGTGGTAATGTTTTTGGAGTGCAAAAGTAGAAAGATTGCTGTTTGTGTTGTAGTGACCAATTAATAGATCCACTTTGTTGATAATCACCAGGATCCAGGCTAAAAGAAACAGATTTTAAAAATAATAATGGTAATAGTACTTAGCTCTAGAATTGTAGTCCCTGGACTAACTGGTTTGCTTCTAACCCATGTTTTTCATTCTACTTGTGAAAAAGTTAGGCAGTACTATTTTCAGAAGGTGATGGAAGGTGTGTATATCATCCCTAGAATGGCTCTTCTTTCTTCCTAAGAGCTGAAAAGAATTTTCTTGGGACATCTTAGTCCAGTTGAGGGCTACCAGTGACTTTGCAAAAAAATAAAATAAAATAAAGGGTCTATGTTTGTGTGTGTGTTTCTGAGCTAGTGAGCTGAGCTGCACTAGGGGTAAATGTTTCCTTTGGGTGGCAGGTTTCTCCCCATAGGGGAAGCAACCAAGCTAACTGAATGCTTGAGAACAGGCTGGCACCTATTAGCTAGTGTAGCAAGGCAACACTTCTGAAGAGGAGGCAGGGAAAATATTCCCTTTTTGTATTATTAATTTGTTTCTTTTGTTTGACTGAAGAGTGGTGTTTGGCCCTACTCTGAAGTAGGGATGTTAGATAGCGTGTAATTGAATAGTTGTTTATCTGCATGAAAATTTAGTGGTTACACGACTATTCGATAGTTGCTGCGGGCAGGGCTAGCAGCCAGTGTGCTCCTGGCCCCACTCCTGGGGAGTCCTCTACCATCCCATGTTGCTGCATCTCTGAGAGGCAGCAGCGTGGGGTGGCAAGCAGGAGCTGGACCATGAGGGGAGCTGGTTTGAAAATCAGCTTCCTGTGCAGTCTAGCTCCCCTTGCCACACTGCACTGATGCCTCTGTATCAGAGAAAGCAGCGTGGGGTGACAGCAGCCCTGTCTGCAGGGAGTCTGAGCTCCCCGAGGGACAGAGGCTGCTCCAGCATGCCATAGAGGCTGCTCCATGGGATGCCAGAGAAACCTGTCTCCATGGGGAGCTCGGATCCCCGTGGACAGGTGCTGGTGATGGGGAGCAGCCTTTGCCCGTGACAGTTTCCCCTGCCCGCACCGCGCACTGCTGCCTCTGCTAGAGACAGCAGCACGGGGAGTGGAGGTGGAGGTGGCACTCCATATCCGGTGCTGGGGGAACCGGCTTTTAAGTCAGCTTCCCCGAGCTCCTGCCTGCCCCCCACTACTGCCTCTGTAGGAGACAGCAAGGGGGGACAGGTGGGTTTGTGGAGCTGGAACACATGGGAAGCCAGCTTGAAAGCCAGTTCCCAGCATATACTGGCTACTGCCTGCCCCCTCTTTCTCTGTGCTACTGCCTGTCTATCACAGGCAGCAGTGCAGAAGTAGTGGTGGGGAAGTGGATCTGGTGCTCACGAAGAGCCAGCTCTTCACAGGCATTGTGTCCCATTTTCTCCCTCCCTTGCTGCCTCGGGGCATGTCTAAACTACTTTTTTTTCTGAAAGAAGAGATGCAACTTCAGTGCTAATTTGCATATCTTCTTCTGATCACATTTTTGAAACCAGGTCTTCTGAAAGTGAAAGTAGTGTGGACGTGAGTTTTTTTGGGGAAAAAAACCCTTTTCAAAAAACCGCGTATACCTCCTTTTTTTAGGAAGAGTGGTTTTTTTTGAAAAAGGGTTTTTTTTTCCAAAAAAAACCCCGAGTCCAGACTACTTTCACTTTTGAAAGACTTGCTTCCAAAAATGTGATCGGAGAAGATATGCAAATTAGTGCCGAATTTGCATTTCTCCTTTCGGAAAAACAACAATGTAGTCTAGACTTGCCCTCGCTATCAGAGGCAGCAAGGGGCGGGGGAGGGTAATGCGTGTAGTCAACAAGATTAACTTGTAAGTCCAAGCTTCTTGGTTAATTGTGTAGTTGTCTACACGATGACATCCCTATTCTGAAGCCCATTTCGTAAATATTGAAAAATAAAGCAAAATGAGGAATAAAACATTCTAAGGAGGGGAATTGACTTACTTTAGGCTCTGCCTCTCCAAACAGCAGAGGGAGAAATGCTAAGCCCAATGAGGCAAAGGAAGTGCTTAGCCACATACTTGAAGCCTTAATTTTTCCTACATTATCTATTTGGATTGAAAAAGAATTGTTATTCAATATAAATAACCAAATGCAGTTTTAGGTGTTATTTTTCTCTTTTCATATAATGATAGTGGAACCATGAAAGCAGCAGTTAGAATTGTATCTTAGGGTTTTATTTAGTCCAGAGCAGAGGAAATAGCCATGTGAATGTCTGAGACGCCTACAGGAATTTTCAACTGAAGTTGTATGATAAAAAACTATTTTATTTTGGAAAAGGATTGGAGTATTTTGGATCAAAGTATTTTGTATCATTGATTTATATCTTGATATTCAATGGCAGTTAAGGAAATTAGTCTCCCAGATTTAATTTCCTCTTGGAGACTGGTTATATTGCTCTGTATTCTGCTTCATGTATATTTGTTTTATAATCTCATCTGTGAAACGTCTGAGAAAGATAAAGAACCAAACAAATGTGAAGCTTTCATATACATTCTTCATTTTGCTTAAACACACTATTTTGTATGTTTTGGATTATAAACTTAGTGGGACAGAAACTATGTCTTCTTGTGTACTTGCAGAGTGCCTAACACAATGTGGTCTTTCAGGAACACATATAATCAATATTAATATATTACCTGCATCTTTAGAAGCTAGATACAAAACTCATTCCGCTGGAGTCTAGATATCCTTGGTAGCATCACTTAAGCACCTGCCTATGTATGGTTTCTTTTTCTTCTCATTGGTTTTACAGAGCAGGAGTCTATCTAGTCTTGCTTTTTATGGTCACTTGCTTGAACACAGAAAGGCTTTTGACTTCAGGGGGGTTACTTCTATGCTAGAGGGTTAAGCAAATGCTTCAGTACCTTGTTGAGTTTGGGCCTATGTAAGGATGATCATGTTATATATGTGCACTTTGAGACTTATTAATAAATGCAATGTATAAATCAAAATGGCAAAGTAAAAACAATATGTTAGTATATTCAATATCATTATTGAATTAGCGCACATTGGCACTTTATAAAACCCAGATTAGACAAGGGCCAGAGTTTTCTAACCTGAGTGCCAAAAGTTAGCTTCTGAATCACATTTAGAATCACTGAAAACCTGCAGATTCCATTTTCTTCTGTGTGAGCTGCACTGTGAAAGAGAGCACAAAATTTCCTCCTTAGGGTTTAATTTAGTTAGATACACTACAAATAACTAAGGAACAAGCTATATTTTTAGCCAAAAGAGGTGAATTTATAGCAAGAAAGAATCAGTATGAAAAGAGGCCTGAAGATGAAAGTGTGAGAATACTGCACTGAAGAAAGAGGGTTAGCAGAAGAAATGAGAGTTGAAGCGTTGTTAGGGGTGGAGCTGTACAGATCCTTAAAGGTGAGGACAAGGAAAAAGAGTCAGAGTATGAAAGTGATTCTATGAGGAGGGAGGATGAATGGCGTGAATGCAGAGACAGATTAATCATTGTTCAGTAGACCCACAATATTTCATAGTAATGACTCAAAACATCTTAATAATACTACCATTGTAACTGTATTTGTATTGTGATTATAGTGTTTTGGAGCAGTACTGTAGAACAATGGTTAAGTGCTTCCTCTGGATTCGCAACTCCCAGAATGCCCCCCAAAATCATCCTGCAATGCCTCACATTTCACAAATCTGTGGGATAGAGATCATGGGAATAAGCAATGGAAGACTTTTGGGTGTCTGGAGTGGGACAGTTTCTTCTGCTGTCAGGAGATAGTGTTGCTGAGTACATGGAAAAGCTCCTGTGGGCTCTTTCGGAGGTGGATGGGTGTCTGTCAATGTGCTTTTTTTTTTACCATGAAAATGAGCATTGTATTGTCTGGAAGGCTCAGCAGCAGTAGAAAGCTACTTCTGTAGAATTCCAGAGGATTATTTTTCTTCTTTTAATAAGCATCAGACCTCTTAACTAGAGTCCCTTGTAGCTGTTGGATGTCAGCTAGGATATGCAATTTCCAGTCTACAATATGCAGCCTTATCAGGGATATCAGATGCCTAGTCAGTAAGTCACTAGCCAGTCATACCAAACAAACTCTTGTTTCTTTCTGGCCATTTGTATGAGTGTGTGTATGTGCATAATATATACTATAATGTTATGTGCTAAAACAATCCAGTATATATGCACTGGGTATGACACACAATTGTCCCTCCCCTTACACGGCATACATATAAAATGTACATAAATGTTGTGAATGACAGGAATGAAGCAGATCTGAATAACCTGGCAGCTCTTGGGAGATGCTTCCACTATCCATATCTTCTAAATCCTGTTTTTAAATACAATTTTTTTAACACTTTTTCTGCATGGTATTGATTTACTTGGTGATTCAGAAATATTGTGTACAAATCACTATCATCTCCTCCTTTTTCTACCACCAACTTTGGGTAGGACTGAAGTAATGAGCAAATTCCATCCTGTTTTGAGCTGCCATTTGAGCAGGCATTTGGAGGGTTGCCTATACTGTGTCGTACCTGTTTCTTTGGACAGCCACAGCCTCTCTCACTGTGCACTCTTCCATACAGAGCTATTTTAGGTTGTCAGTGTGGGTCCAGACTAGCAACATGGCCAAACCTGTAGTTGGCACCTTTTAATGATTGTAGCCACACTGCACATTGTCTTTTATGAGTGTCATTGTTTCATTTGTCATAGTGAATATGATGGGGTAGAGTAGCCCGGAAGCCCTGTGTTGGAGACTTGTAACACCCTGCCTCAGGGAAAAGAGCAGAGGAGATGACCTTCAGGCAAGCTAGAGTGGCTGCTTCCACTGTAGCCAGTCAGGGCCCAGCAAGCCAGTATAAAGAAGCTGCTTGGGTCAGGGCCTAGCAGTTCCTCTCTGGAGCTCAGGATAGGCAAACCCAGGGATTGATTGACTGACCGAGAAGGCAGCAGTATATTGGATAGCTCAGTGTGTAGGGTGGATTGCAGATGCAGCTGAAGCCCAAGACTGGTGTCTGAAAACCATGTGTGGTGAGTTAAGGAGAATTGCAGGACCTTTGACAAAGTGCTATGAGGACTTGGAGATAAAGCCCTGAAAGTGGGCAAGATTGGAACAGATTCTTGGGCAAGTAGTGCTGGGAGCACTTTTCCCCAAGCCGGAAAAAAAGCGGCGGACATGTTTATTTAAATCCCGCGGGGGATATTTAAATCCCCCGCGGATTTCCCTATCCTGACTTACCTGATTTGCATCCCTTTTCCGGAAATTGTGGCCAGTGTAGACGTAGCCCATGGTGTGCCTACACAGCAAAGTTATTTCGGAATAAAGGCTGTTATTCCAAAATAACTATGTGAGTATCTACACAGCAATTCCATTATTTCAAAATATTTTCAAAATAATGGACAGCTTAGTCTGACATCTGTAAACCTCATTCTACGAAAAATAGCTATTTTGAAATAAGGCACGTGTGGACACTCCACTTCTGCTATTTTGAAATAGCCCCTCACCAGGGCCATTCTAAGTTATTCCTCCTGGGGCTCTAAATCAAGATAGCACATCTACATTAGAGAAGCCTGCCTCGGACTAATTTTGAGGCTTCCCTTCAGTGTAGAAGTTCTATTTCGGAATAACTATTCCAGAATAGTTTATTCTGAAATAACTGTGCAGTGTAGATGTAGCATTAGTGGGCAACTACCATTTACAGGGTCCTTGGGCTGGGACCCAGAGGAGTGGATGGGCCTGGGTTGTCTCCAACCTCCCAGTAGCTACTCAAAGGGCAAAAAAGAAGCCTGGTCCCAGCTGACCGAGAAGAAAGGACAAGTGAGATATCCTCCACTCCCAGAGTTAGTCAGAGGAGTGAGAGCTTGTGAACACACATCTTTGGTCACAATGGGATGTTGGAGAGAGGGTAAGCCCTTTACAGTGGCTGTGTCTACACTGGGCCACTTATTCCAGAAAATCAGCCACTTTTCCGGAATAAGCTGCGTGCTGTCTATACTGGCCCTTGAATTTCTGGAAAAGCAACGATGCTTTACTGTACAAAATCAGCCGCTATTCCGGAAAAACTATTCTGCTCCCGCTCGAGCATAAGTCCGTATTCTGGAACACTGTTCCGGAAAAGGGCCAGTGTAGACAGCCCCGTAGTCTTTTCCGGAAAAAAGCCCCAATCGCGAAAATGGCTATCGGGGCTCTTTTCCGGAAAAGCACGTCTACATTGGCCACAGACGCTTTCCCGGAAAAGGGCTTTTCTGGAAAAGCAGCCTGCTAATTTAGACGCTCCTTTTCCGGAAAAACTGAAAAAGGAATAGTATTCTGTTTTAAGCATTTCCGGAAATTCATGCCAGTGTAGACACAGCCAGTATGTTTAGCCTTGTCAAGCTTAGAATATGGTGGATGCCCCCGCCCATTTCAAATATTTGTAGCTTTTGCTTCAGGTACTAGTAAAATCTGCCATGTTTCATTGGAAATTCTAGTGGGAGATAATGATGACAGCTTGAGTATTATTGCCTGCTATGTGCTTCTTACTCCTATGTGAATGAGTTTTTGAGCAAACATATTGCCAGGGAGCAGGAAACAGTGAGTGGAGCAGGTCATTATTGCCCATGCCTAGAGAGCCATAGCATTTTTGTGGGATTACTCAGTGTATTTTGTGACATATACATTTTAGAGTGTAATGATCCCTTTTATCTTCTCAGAAATAGGGATATAAGAGTTTAACTGATTAACCAGTTAACCGACAAGCTGATCCTAATGCTTATCAGTTAAACTCGAAGGCAGCCTGTGGGGGCTGGTGGCCAGCAGTCTTCCAGCATCTTTCCCTCTTTAGGCCTGTATCTCCAGGTAGCAGCAGTGGCAGCCAGGAGCCCTGGGCCCTGAGACAACTGTTTCTTTTGCCCATCTCCCTCACTGGCCTGCAGCTAGCCCTTTTTTTCTGATTTCACTTTCAGGATATCTCACTGCTGTTATATCCAATAGCTGGTCACACATTAGAGCAGTGTTATTAATCAGTGAAGCCCCCTTTACAGTAGCTGGACTTACTTGTTATGTATTTTGCACATGATCACTGCTGAGAGTCCACAATCTCAGCCCTTATGTTTAGTCGTGTTAAAATGGATGATGTAAGGTATAGCTTTGTGTAACATATGAAGGAAGTGCGTTCTGCTAGCCATAAATTAAATCTTTTCAGATTTTCTTTACTGTAGTATTTCTTATTTAACCTTTTTTGAAAAGTCAAGCACAAATTTATGCATGAACCCGAATAAAACTTTTCATTGATCTATTTCCTTTTGCAGGAAATTACATCAACAATTTGAAATGTATAAGGAGCAAGTGAAGAAGATGGGTGAAGAATCGCAGCAGCAGCAGGAGCAGAAGGGTGATGCCCCCACCTGTGGTATTTGCCACAAAACAAAATTTGCTGATGGCTGTGGCCATAACTGTTCATATTGCCAAACTAAATTCTGTGCACGTTGTGGAGGAAGAGTATCTTTACGCTCAAATAAGGTATGGAATTTATTTATAATAAGTATTGCTGAATTTTTCTACCGATGTTGCTTAATGTAAAGTGTGATGTAAGTTGGTATAGAAGTTCTTTGAAGATTATTATTGTAATTTGTGTATGGTTAGTTACTTTAGTTATAGAAAATATATCAATAGAAAAAATGGCTCTCATAGGACATACCTGTGCCTGTCCACAAGTTTGATATCTGTTGTTCAGAATCATTAATAATGCCTTTTAGTTATTGTACAAACAACTTTTCCTTCAAGGAGGAAACTTCTTTAAGACTTTTGTTCCTTTGAGATAAAATCTTCATTAGAACTGTGGTCCACCTGTGGATCAGTGAATATATTTTTTTCAATTTATTACCTAATTCAATTTTGCAAATGGATAAGAAGGCCATGCTGGGTCAGACCAACAGTCCATCCAGCCCAGTTTCCTGTCTGCTGACAGTGGCCAATACCAGAGGGGTTATCCCTCCCCTGTCACTCATCTCCAGAGAAACAGAAGCTAGGGACACCATGCCTACCCATCCTGACTAATAGCCATTGATGGACCTAACCTCCATGAAACTATCTAGCTCTTTTTTCAACCCTGTTAAAGTCCTGGTCTTCACCACATCTTCTGGCAAGGAGTTCTAGAGGTTGACTATGCAGTAAAGTGAAGTAAAACTTCCTTTTGTTTGTTTTAAACCTTCAGCCTATTAATTTTATTTGGTGACCCCTAGTTCTTATACTGTGGGAATAAGTAAATATCTTTTCCTTATTCACTTTTTCCATACCAGTCCTGATTTTATAGACCTATATCATATCCTGCTTTAGTCTTCTCTTTTCTAAGCTGAAAAGTCCAAGTCTTTTCAATCTCTCTTCATATGGGACCCGTTCCAAACCCCTAATCATTTTGTTGTCCTTTTCTGAGCCTTTTCCAATGCCAATATATCTTTTTTGAGATGAGGCGACCACATCTGTATGCAGTATTCAAGATGTGGGTGTGCCATGGTTTTATATAGAGGCAGTAAGATATTTTCTGTTTTATTATCTAGCCCTTTTTTAATGATTCCTAATATTCTATATGCAATTTTGACTGCCGCTTCACACTGAGTGGATGTTTTCAGAGAACTATCCACAGTGACTCCAAGATCTCTCTCTTGAGTAGTTGTAGCTAAATTAGTCCCCATCATATTGTATGTATAGTTGGGATTATTTTTTCTAATGTGCATTATTTTACATTTATCAACATTAAATTTCATTTGCCATTTTGTTGCCGAATCACTTAGTTTGGTGAAATCTTTTTGAAGCTTTTCACAGTCTGCTTTGGTCTTAATTGTCTTGAGCTGTTTGGTTTTGTCTGCAAATTTTGCCACCTCACTATTTACCGCTTTCTCTAGATCATTTATAAATAAATCGAATAGTATTGGTCCCAGGATAGACACTTGGGGGACCCCACTAGTTATCTCTCTCCACTCGGAAAACTTACCATTTATTTTCACCCTTTGTTTCCTGTCTTTTAACCAGTTATAAATTCATAAGAGGACCTTTCCTTTTATCACACGATAACTTACATACACATGGATAATTGTTCCTCTGTGGATCCAATCACAGAATCAGGGCCTAAATTTGGAAGGAAAGAAACTTATTTAGTTACAATCATTTTGAGGTATACATAGTTAGAAGTTAGAGTAAGGAATTGTTCCTGGCTCTGTCTGACCCAGATTCATTTGGACAAGCCTTTTAACTTTATCTTATCTCAGTTTGGTAATGGGTATTATCAGGGCTCGATGATCATGGCGAAAACCACTCGTCAGCCCCGCACTACACATGTGAGACCTGCACTGTGCATGCATGGACTGCCAGTGAACGGGGAGACTGGCTGAAATCTCCTCGCCACGGGCGAGTAGATTAGCATATTTGTCGAGCCCTGGGTATTATATTTACATACCTCCGTAATATCAGTTGAGGGAGCTATTTAAATGATGTTTGTAAACTACTTTTTTCACTGCACTGCTGCACATTTAGATGTGGCCTTAGAGTAGGGGTGGGCAATAATTTTTGGAGGGAAACCACTCCAAGAATTTGGTAAATGGTCAAGGGCTTCACTCTTCCATGATATTAATGGAGGAAATGCAGGGTTTGGGACCTTTGGTGCATAAGGGAGCTTGGGGTAAGGAGATTGGGGTGTAGGAGGGGGTGTGGGGGTGTGGGATCTGAGAGGAAGTTTAAGTGTGATATCAATGGGCCTTATGCATGCATCTTGAAAGGTGTGTTCTGTGGGTTTCAACAATTGTATTAGTGGAGATGTCATCAAGTTTTGCAACTTTTGTTCTTGCAGAATCTGGTGCTGCTTTGAGTAGGAGTGTCTTGGTCTGTCGGGATCTTGCTTCTGATAAGGTTAGAGAGGTTGGGGGTTGTTTGAAGACCACAAAAGAGGGATCAAGTACAGCTTATAGTTGTTTGGTGGTAGTCCGTATGGGTTCCAGTGTGGGATGGTAAGTGACAACTAAAGGCATACTGTCAGAGAGGGGTTTATTTCTGTATTGAAACAAAACTCCCTCCGACCACACACTGCTAATTTTCACAGGAAATGATATGATACAAACATACCATATCATTAGTGCATGAACACTTTTCACAAAACAAACCTTCTTTATCAGACCGAGCAATCCATAGTCTCAAAGGAAATGTTCGCAACACTTTCAAAAGTGGTGCCTAAGAGCTTACATTCATAACTTTGTTAGACACTAAAATTCATGGTCTTAAGACACTGGATTTATGGTTTATTACAATAATTGGTAACTCATTAATCCCCCCTTTTTGTCCTGTTACTATGTGGGTGCTAAAGGGCCACAGCATCTCAAAAAGTCCCTTAGAATTTGCTAATTGCGTATGTTAAATGATGTGTTTGATCATGTATTTAGCTGAGACACTATGAGTGTCTTTACCCAGATCTGTGGAAAAGCTCTGTGTAGATCGAAAGCTTTTCTCTATTGCCAACAAAAGTTGATCCAGTAAAAGATATTGCATCACCTGCAGTGTCTTTCTAATATCCTGGGACCTTCATGGCTGCAGCAACACTTTATACTTCTTTTAGGTCATGTCTACACTACAGATAAGATTGAAGCAGCCAGAGTTGATCTTCTGGGCTATGTCTACACTCGCGGCTTCTTGCGCGAGTAATATGCAAATGAGGCTAAGCGTGGAATATTGCCGAGCCTCATTTGCATACCTAATGAGCCACCAATTTTTTCAGAAGAGGCTCTTGCGCAAGAAGGAGCGTCCCCTTCTTGCGCAAGAAAAACCCTCTTGCGCAATGCTGTTCTTCCTGAAAAGTAATAGGTGTAACGGCATTGCGCAAGAGGGTTTTTCTTGCACCAGAAGAGGCCGTGTAGATGCTCCTTCTTGTGCAAGAGCCTCTTCTGAAAAAAAAGGTGGCTCATTAGGTGTGCAAATGAGGCTCGGCAATATTCCACGCTTAGCCTCATTTGCATATTACTCCCGCAAGAAGCCGTGAGTGTAGATATAGCCCTGGTGTTTGAATTAGCGGGTCTAATGAAGACACACTAATTCAAATTGAGAGGGCGCTCCCATTGATGCTGCTAGTCCTGCTTTTACGAGGCATAAGGGAAGTCTAAGGGAGAATGTGCTCCCTTTGACTTCATGCAGTGTGGATGGTGCCAAATTTTGAGTGAAGATACTTTGACTTAAGCTACGCAATGAATGTAGCTGAAGTTGTGTATATTAATTCAAACTTGTTCCCTAGTGTAGAGCAGGCCTTAGAGTGGCCACAAAGGGCCACTACAGCCTAAAAGGCAGATGATTAATGGATATGAATGGAGCATGCAACGTGATTGGAGAGTATGCTGAAAGTATTCCATGGAGCAAACCTTTCAGTAAACCTAGTGGATATAGTCTTCTTCTGCTACAGTGAATATACAGCTGTACCTCAATAATGGGGGACAGGCCACATGTCGTACCTCGAATTGAATACTTCCTGAATCTTCTTCCTCCTCTCCTCATTTTTCTTTCTTCTTTCCACTTCCTCTGCCCTCCCTCTCTGTGCTTTATTATTCATATTAACTGTCCTATGCCTGCCATTTAACCCTTATCCCGTATCTTCTCTAATAACTATATTGTAAAAGAAAATTAAATATGATTTGAAATCATTAAGTTATACATATTGTTAGTCCTTGTATTGTGTAATTTTATTACTTTTGCCTTCATTCATCTAGTGATAGTCATGCTCCCTAGTTGCCCTAATGTACATTCAGGGAAGAAATTGTCTCCCTATGTGTACATACAATACCATGTATAAAGACCCTCCTATTCTATTTGTGGCCTTTTGGGCATAACTGCAATACAAATGAACTTAAATTAGCTAAAGACATAAAGGGTAACAAAACATTCTAGAAATATATTTATTTATTTTGAGTTTCACCAAGAGGGTTGGTAGTGATTGGATGCCTAAGATAGGGAATGTCAGTGAAAATGAAATAGATTTAGAAGTTTTAAAATAGTAAAAAAAAAAAAAGTTAAAAATTACTTATACATGCTAGATGTCTTCAACTCACCAAGGCCTGATGAAATGCATCCTGGAATAATCAAGGAACTGACTGAGGAGATAGCTCAGCCATTAGCTATTGGTTTTTTAAAAGTCTTAGAAGAGGGAAGAGATTCCAGAAGACTGGAAAAGGGCACATATAGAGCCCATCTATAAAAAGGGAAATAAGGGCAACCCAAGGAACTACAGACAAGTCAGCTTAACTTCTGTGCCAGGAAAAATAATGGAGCAAATCATTAAGGAATCCATTTGCAAACATCGGGGAGAAAATAAGGTTATATGTAACAAGCTAGCATGGATTTTTAAAGAACAAATCATGTTAAGCCAACCTGGTAGCTTTCTTTGACAGGATAATAAGCTTTGTGGATAACAGGGAAGTGATAGATTTAGTATAACTAGACTTTACTTAAACCTTCCATACAGTCTCACATAACCTCCTCATTAAGAAGCT